TGGAGTTGAAAAGCCGTTTGGCACAAAAAAAAAAAAAAAGAAAAAAAAAAAAGAAAGCATGGGCTGCAACAGCTGCCAATCTGTGGAGGCTCTAGTGTATAATTCCAATATTTTTGGTATCTAGACGAGCACGAAAGGCTAAAACCCACGGGTTGTGACGGAGCTGTCGTTCCCTAATTCAAAAAAAAAAGAAAAAAAAAGAGTGTGGAGGATGAGACATTTAGACTTCGGCTAGAAACGGAAGGGAACTTGACTTGTTAGCAAAGAGAGAGGTGTCATTAGTTGCATTGATCGATGCATTCGTTATAAAGATTGACAAACTATGGTGGTCACTTGAATTGATACTTGATTGTTTGAGTTCTTAAAATGATTCCATCGTGAGTCCAAATGAATTAATTTGAGTTGTTTGAACTATGCATTTATGTGAGAATTGTGGCCCTGAGTTAAGTTCCACGTACTTGTTTTCTTGTCCATCTATATGCTTATAGTTATAAGTTGCTTGGGGACAAGCAATAGTTTAAGTTTTGGAAGATTTGATTGGTCGGAAAAAGTGTGTATTTTATATATTTATTGGCGTATTTTTATATAGTTAATTTTATCGCACTTATATATTTTTCGACTTATAATTTATTTGGATGAATTTATTTGCTTTGATGTTTTATGTATTATTTTCAGTATTTTGGAGCATTTAGTGGATTCGAAGCATCTGATGGAATTTCTGGCGATTAATCACCGGGGTGCACCAATACTACTCCAATTAGGCGCTAATTTGACAAGGCCCAAATACTTAAGCAACCACACTTGGAAAAAGAAAACGGAATAGGAAAAACACTAAGCCCAACTAGATGAATTATTTGAGGGGAGATTTTGAAACGGGCAGGGAACGAAAAAAGAAAGTCGTGGGATATTGGGAGAAAAAGTAATTGGCTGCCAAGGAGTCATATATTTAGAAAAAAAGATTTATTCGCTGAGAAGATATATAATTAGAGAGCCGCCAGAGGATTTTATTTTTATGCCAAAAAGCCAGAGCCGCCACGCAAAGTCGAAAAAGAAACAGAGCCGCACGGAGAGCACATATACGAGGAGCCCGATCAGTCGCGGAGGGAGGCCGCACCCGTACACGAGGAGGATAACTATATTCTTCTCCTTTTATTTTTATTTATTATGTTAGAGTAGTTCTTTAATTCTAGTTCCGTGGAAGTCGAACCCTACGATTGACGATGTTTTGATTGATTTATATGGTTGATGATTTCAATATCTTTTTGGGATTGTTTGTGTTATTTTGAATAATTCACCATGATGTGTTAGTCTTGTTTACATTGATCACCTAGATTAGGCTTTTTGTATCTACATCTGAATTAGACCTGCAATCCGTAATTGTTGTTGTGTTTAATTCATAAGAGGTAACCGGAAGATGATAACTACCGGGGATAACACGGCCCATTTAAGTGAGCGAACGCGGTTGAGTTCACTACTTAGTCTAGCCTATTTTTCTAATTCGTAAAGCAGCTAATTGTATTAAATCTTGAAAACGTTTTTCTGGACTGTACCAGAAGTCAGGTTTAATCGTAGAGCGTCTCGTGGTTAAATTAAAAATAA